GCATTCAAAGCAACATTTTTCCATTCAGGAAGTAAGGTTCATGGTGGGTCATATTGCCCTACTGAGGTACCATTGTGTAGCATGGAATTGTGTATTGCTATACTAAAGAGTGATCGATTATCTATTTGGTTGGGTCTGGACCTCCCATAGGGTCTCCACTTGTGTCCAGGCCACCTCAGGGGGGGAGATCTGTTCCACCTCCCAGCCACTTGTGTTATCAGCCTTTGCAAAAGAAACATTTCTTAATTTTGGAACATATAAGAAGGGGATTATAGAAAACAGGAATAAAAGTGGTAACTACCATAACTCCCACCTTCCCAGCCACTTGTGTCATCGGTCTTTGCAAAAGACCAAATTCTTCATTTTGGAAGATATGGGAAAGGAAATTTTAGAAAATAGGTGGTGATATCCTTTACGTCTACATCTAAACCATCTGAGATTGGGCACACAGGTGATGATCCATCCCACCTTCCAAGCCACTTGTGTCATCGGTCTTTGCAAAAGACCAATCGGTCTTTGCAAAAGAATTCTTCATTTTGGTACATATGGGAAAGGGATTATAGAAAAGAGGTGGTGATATCCTTTATGTCTACATCTAAACCATCTAAGATTGGGCACACAGTTGATGATCTGTCCCACCTTCCAAGCCACTTGTGTCATCGGTCTTTGCAAAAGACCAAATTCTTCATTTTGGTACATATGGGAAAGGGATTATAGAAAAGAGGTGGTGATATCCTTTATGTCTACATCTAAACCATCTGAGATTGGGCACACAGGTAAGTGTGTGTCTTGTACATGGCTATGTAATTGCTGCATAGTAAATCATAGGAACAAGGTAACAACATGTCTTCCTTGTGTGTGTGATGGAGATGCCAGCATGCAAATACTGATCATCGCCATAAGTGGTTACTTTGGTGCCTTCGGCCCAGGGGCGGACTGACAACTCATGGGGCCCCCCGGGCAATAGGGGATCATGGGGCCCCTGTGTCCTTGCCCAAACTCAAAAAAGCCTATGAAAAGGGTACCAGGGGAATCTCATGGGGCCCCCTACTGACCCCGGGCCCTCGGGCAGTGCCCGAGTTTCCAAATGGTCAGTCCGCCCCTGCTTCGGCCTTAATACCAGCATGTGTTTGTAGTAAAAATATTGATTCTGTGCAAGTTTTTTTTTTTTTTTTTTAAGTTTTGTACATGAATACTGACAAGGAACTGTTTGCTTGCTAAATTTGTCATAATTCTGTTCAGCCATTCTTGGAATTGACACACTCCTGCCATGTGAGCAGCCAGTGTGTGGGGACAATAGTTCTGAGTGATGGAGCTTCCTGTGTTGCTTGTCTAATGACCAGACTATGAAACAGTCTAATAGTCCATTGTATTGTGGATAAAAACCTTTACTTTAGGCTCCCGGTGCTTGAAACAAGTTAGACTGCAATTGATAATCTTGACTGGATAACCGTGCATAACACTGCACTCTTTGTCTTTCTGCTATGTGGGATATCGAGGGAATAAAATTATAGAGCGCAGTGCAGCAAAATGGAAATAATTATTGTGATGATAAATAGGTCCCAACGTGGGCCTTTAGAACAATGTCATGTGTCGGCCTCCCTGTGTTTCTGATATGATAAAGCGCCTCAAACAAGCTTGAGAGATCACTTACAGATTAGCCGTACTGAGCTGTCATGGGAGCTGGCTGCAGTAGGGCCCTCGTTAAATCCAATTTATAAATGCAAATCACAGATAATTAGAAAAGAAAGGGCGAAGCTGGCTAATCCGCTCCAAAGAGCATGCTGTAGAGCAGGAATGATAAGAACGGGGCAAAAGAGGAAGATGGGGCCTCGGAGATTAGAACATTAGCTCGGCTTCATCTGAGGTGGAATAATATTAGGTTTACAATTAGATGCACTGGTGACAGGAGGCTGTTAATTGCTACCTTGCTTTGTTCTGGATAAAAATGGAGATTTGTACCCCCCTACGTGGCAGTTTCAGGATATAGCTATATGTGGAAAGCAGTTTAATCCCTGCCGGGGTTTACAGCAGGTCTAGTCGCTTTCATGGTACTAGAAAACCACTTCGGGGCCATTCATGATAAATTCAATAAAGGAATAAGTAAACCTAAGGTTTCTTTTTAAAAAAATGGTTAGACAGAAGCAGTTTTTCCAAGCAGAATATTTTGGAAATAACTGCATGTTTGCTGATGTGTTGGGTTGGCCGTAGCGGAGCCATGTTGCAAAGTACTAAATAGGTAAACAAAGTAAAAAAGTGAGCGCTAATCAGTTCAGCAGCTGTACACTGAAGGCAACCAATAAAACCTCAATAAGTAATATCAAAGAAAATAGTGCAGCGCTTAAATCAATAGTCCTCAGTTATTCCCGATCAGTGGATGTTCCTCAATACGGAATGTAAGAAATGCCCACTCACCGGAACCACACTTGATACAGTGCAGTGCATAATAGTTATTCCCCGGTGTCACTGGAAGTATACATCTGGTTCAGCCCTTGGAAGAGTATCCCTCTATAGATCAGACAGGTCCAGGGTCACAGCAAATAAGGCTCCGACATAGAGTTCCCCTTAAGGGATGTGTGGGTGTTACTCTTGCAGCAAATAGAAACCTCCCACTCTGGATGGAATCGGAGTAACACAGCTTCGTCAGAGAGAGCCGGCTCTCCCTCTGACGATGTGTGTGGCACGTAACGCGTAAGGAGGAGTCTGCTCACGCCATTGACGTCACGCCGTCGGAGCATCGTGGAGCTCCGGCGGCCATTTCCTTCTAGGGACGAACCTGTGTTACTCCGATTCCATCCAGAGTGGGAGGTTACTATTTGCTGCAAGAGTAACACCCACACATTCCTTAAGGGGAACTCTATGTCGGAGCCTTATTTGCTGTGACCCTGGACCTGTCTGATCTATAGAGGGATACTCTTCCAAGGGCTGAACCAGATGTATACTTCCAGTGACACCAGGGAATAACTATTATACACTGCACTGTATCAAGTGTGGTTCTGGTGAGTGGGCATTTCTTACATTCCGTATTGAGGAACATCCACTGATCGGGAATAACTGAGGACTATTGATTTAAGCGCTGCACTATTTTCTATGTTGCAAAGTACTGGCAATGTGTGTTGGTGTGTTTCCCATAGAGCAGCTATGTTGGGCACTGACAGGTATGTGGACTTGGCCATTGTACAGTTGTGCTGCACCAGATTGGCAGTGTTTTTGTTGATGTGTTGGGTGGGCCACAGTGGAGCCATATTGTGTCACATCAACAATTTGAGTTGATGCATTGGCCATAATGCAATATTGTTGGGCACTGATAGGTGTGTTAGCATGTTGGGTTGGCCATTGTTTTGCTGTGCTGCCCTGGATTGGCAGCATTTGTTGAAGTGTTGGGTGGGCCATAACGAAGCCATGTTTTGCCACATCAACAATGTGTGTTAATGTTGGCCATAAAGCAGCCATGTTGGGCACCAACAGATGTGTTGGTTTGGCCATTGAACAGCTGTGTTGTATTAGATTGTTGTGCTAGATTGGCAGTGCATGTTGATGTGTTTGTTGGCTGAAGCAGAACCATGTTGTGCTGCATTGAAAAACAGCATGGATGTGTGAAAAACAGCATGGATGGGCACTGTGTTGTCTTTTTGGGCTGATGGTTTGGGAAGGCTACATAGGAGCCGTGTTATGCTGCATGGACTGTGTTGGCCATTGGGGTACAATTGACTTTATGTTGATGCATTAGGTTGGCCATAGAAGTTGCATCAGTTTGTTTTGTCTTGGACGTAGAGGAGCTAGGCTAGGCATAGCGGGCATTGCATGTTGACTACCTGTGTTGGCCATATTTTTGGGTTAGGTTTTCCATAGATTAGCCATGTTGTGCTGAATTAACAATATATTTTTATAGGTTGGAATGGCCACCAAACAACCATCTTTTGTTGAACAGACAACATGTATGTGTGTTGCATTGACTATACAGCAGCCATGTTATGCAGAACTGAAATTATGAGGTACATTTATAAAGCAGTAAATGTGCCTTTCACTGGTGGTAAACCAATCACTGTCATTTGAAACTCATGCCCCTTGAAGTTGCATGTGCACTGAATGTTTGGTGAATGCAGATTCACTGCTTTAAAAATACACCCCTATATGTTGATGTGTTAGTATGGCCATAGCAGAGGCATGCCAGGCAATACTGAAATGCATGTTGGCTAGTTGTATTGGCTATAGAGGAGTTTTTTTCACAATAGATATTGATGAGTTGGGTTGACCATAGAGCTGCTATGTTTCACAATGGCTGTTGACGAGTTGGGTTGAACAAAGAGCAGCCATGTTTCTCAATGGATGTTGGTGGCTTGGATTGACCATAGGGCAGCCATCTTTTACAATGGATGATAATGAGTTGGGTTGACCACAGAATAGCTATGTTTCACAATGAATGTTGATGCTCTGCAATGGATATTGATAGACTGGGTTGACCATAGAGCAGCCATGTTCCCAAATGGATGTTGATGGGTTGGGTTGAAAATAGAGAAGCCATGTGTTGCAATTGATGTTGATGGGTTAAGTTGACCATTGCACAGCCATCTTGTTTTGAATAGACAGTGTGTGCTGTATGTTGGGTTGGCTATAGAGCAGCTAAGTGATGTACAATTAACAGTGTGTACATTGTTTTGCAGAACTGGACCGATATTCCCAACCTTACAGATAAATTCCTTTTACTGGCTGGGAGTATCCCGTCTAAAGATAGCGGAATGGAAAAGGGCTTGAGAAGAAATGGATATCTTCTTATAGCATAGACAATGAACATGCCCATCCCTCAAAAAGTCATGAGGCTCCCAGCGTCGGCCATCTTGTATAAGCCCGCGCCATGAAATTTTCACCTCATAGACAGAAATGCGTTGAGTGATGTGAGTGCGCAAGTGAGTGTTGCCTGCCCTCGGCCCTTGTTCTTCGGCTGTCTCCGGCCTTGGAGAATAGGCATTCCTCAGTCGGTGTAGGTGGATCCTGGGAGTTCATTGGTGAGCGTGTGCCAGTGCTCTGCCCTCTGATTGGTGGAAAGAGAGACACTCCATCCACTGCTTTAGACACTCCCCTTTGGAGTTTACGCCAAGGGTCACACCCCCTGTAAGAAAAATAATGTAAGCAGTTAATGGTAGCCTAGTGGGGAATTGGTGGATCGACTTACCAGAGAAGGATTCAGAAACCTTTCCACAAGGAACATGAAAACTGGCACATTTGTGGGCACGTGGCCATGGTTCCATACAAATGCTATGTGCAGGCCTATTTGAAGATGACCTACTGTATATTTAATTGTAAGAATACAACTTTGCTACCGTGCTTGGTGGGAGGGTTAGAGAAGAGCAAGACTGAACTAGTTACAGTACCTTTCTTGGGTGAAATGCTGCTCCAGGCTTCCTCCAGTGCTTTTCACAAAAGCAGATATTCAAAGTTTTGGTCACATGATCTCTGCTGAAAGAGCAGGCAATCCAATCTACACTCACATCCTCCCCTCCATCAGGGGATTACCTGATCAAATGCCTAGGGTTTTGGTTATTCTAGCAGCACTGAGAGGAGCATGAAGCTGCATTTTCTCCAAGAAGCACCTCGGATCCTGTATTCTTCCTAATTTCTGCAGCTGATAAACTGACGTTTAGGAGCTTTTTTGCATTTTTTTCCACAGCCCCTGAACTCTCCCGAATGTTCTCCTATGTGTCCATGTACACATCGTCGTTTACAGGCAGTTGAGCTTACCGTCGTTTTTTTTTGAACGCACCAAACTTGCGTTCAGGAGTAGATTTTTCTTTTTCTAATCGCTTCTCGGCCTTTTGGCTAAGATCAAGTGTAGTATCTGTTCTTATCAGTGTCCAGTGGGGGTGCTCCCGGCCATTCTAGCTTTGCGGGATGGCTGTTGTATAGTACCCTCACTGGTATGATGGGGGTCTGGAAGGCTAGTACCGGGGGGACAGAAACGGGATGCCCACACGTAGCTGGGACCTGGGAGTAATTCCCCAGAGGAGACTGGAAGGACCCAGTACCTCCTGATTTGTATGGATCTACCTCTGGCCAGGGGTCGGGAAGGCAGAAAGTCCGCAAACCAGTGCTCGCTGAGTAGTCGCCTCAGGGGTGCCACTAGTAACACCTGGGTGTGGGACCCCACAGTGTGAAGATGACACAAGGTCACTGTGTTTTCACTCTTTTTGCACAGCGCCCTTAGGACCAGGCCTTTTGGCTAGGACCAGGGCAATTTTTGCTACAGGCCTCAGGGCCTGGTCTGTGCACAATTTGGCACGGCCACTTTTTTATTTTCTATTTATTTAATTTATTTTCACTCCCACGTATTGTCACTTTTTCTTACTTATGTGTGTGTTTTTACAGGATGGAGGGTGTGGGTCCTCGGGCCTGCCCTGAAGTCTAGGGGGAGGATGTGTGGCCTTTTGGTTCCTTCCTCCCCTGTCCCTAGGGGGTTTTCTATTCGGGAGAGCCCCCTGACCAAGTACTGGGTGTCCGGCTTCGGCTGGACACAAGGAACGGTGGTCCACCAGGCCTTTTGGCCAGGAGGACCAAATGGGAACCTTGTCCCTGTCAGGAGCTTCGTGTCCCGGGGGATCAGGGTAGTGGTCCAACCCCTTCGGGGGTAGGACAAAAGCACACCCCTAAGTGCACTTTTTCGTGTGGTGTTTTGCACTTGCACTTTTTTTGTGAACACTTACGGGTTTTTTTCGTTATAGTTGCACGTTTGCGGACTTAAAAAAAAAAAAAAAGTAGATTTAAGGCCTGGTCTGTGCACATTTGGCATGACCACTTTTTATTTATTTAATTTATTATTTCTCCCACTGTTTGTCACTTTCTCACTCATGTGTGTGTTTTTTTCTCACAGGATGGAGGGTGTGGGTCCTCGGGCCTGCCCTGAAGTCTAGGGGGAGGATGTGTGGCCTTTTGGTTCCTTCCTCCCCTGTCCCTAGGGGGTTTTCTCTTCGGGAGAACCCCCTGGCCAAGTACTGAGTGGCTGGCTTCGGCTGGCCACAAGGAACGGTAGTCCGCCAGGCCTTTTGGCTAGGTGGACCAAATGGGAACCTTGTCCCTGTCAGGAGCTTCGTGCCCCGGGGGGATCAGGGTAGAGGTCCATCCCCTTCGGGGGAAGGGCAAAGCACACCCCTAAGTGCACTTTTTCGTGTGGTGTTTTACACTTGCACTTTTTTTGTGATTCACTTACAGGTTTTTTCGTTATTCGCACGTTTGCGGACTTCAAAAAAAAAAAAAAAAGATTGTACTGGCGTTTCAAACGGCAAATGCTTGTAAATGTGGTTAACTGCGTTTATAAGCGTTTGCGTTTAGAAGCGTTTTTAACTGTTCCATGTCCAGATGCTGTCCAGAGCCTTTTTTCATCATCAGAAATGCATGCAAAGCGTTTTCCATGTATTCAAATTGAGCTGGTACACCAGCGCAGTCAGTTGCAGGCTTCGCGTGAAGGAAAAAAATGGTAGAATGCAGAATACAACCAGAAAAGACAGGTCATCTCCACACATACTGCTCTCTCTGCTTCTACTTTATTTCTCTCAAAATGTCTGAAATAGTTCATTATTGTTTTTTCAGTGCATTCTGGGCATTTGGAAGGTCTCCTGAGGTTATCTTTTAAAAATGCTTCTCAACGCAAACGTGTATAAACGCGGTATGCAAACTCTGCTAAACTGACGATTTTTTAATCTACGTTTTCCAGCAGTCAGTTTCCATCATTCAGAAGAGTTTTCCATACGCCCCGTGTACATGGAGCCCTAAGGCTGCTTTCAAACTGAGGAGTTTTTCAAGCGTTTATGCATTAAAAAAAGCGCCTGAAAAGCTCAAGAAGACTGCTTCCCTGTGTCTGTGTTCACACTGAGGCTTTGCGCTTGCAGTGCGGTGTAAAAACTCCTGCTTGCAGCATCTTTGGGGCATGTTTGGGTAGTTAAAAAAAACAAAAAAAAAACAAACAAACCGCCTCTTCCCATTGAAATCAATGGAAAATGCCTGAAAAGCGCCTCTGAGAACCGTTTTTGATGCAGTTTTTTAAGTCATGTGTCCTTTTTAAAAAACATTCACAAAGTGCAGCAAAAGCGTGGCAAAAACGCCCATGCGTTTTTGCGGCGGATCAGTGTGAAAGTAGCCTAAGACTAATGGCATAATGGTCCACTAAATATTCGAATAATAATAATAAGGCATTTCATAATGTAGTGATAATTTGCAAAGTGCAGTATAATGAGTGTTAGAGAAAATGAGCCTATGCTTGAGAAAGGAGCGCGCTTGCCCATCCATTGGCTTTGCGCATGCTCTGAAACGCGTCGCATTGCATGCTGGTCCTCTCCACGTCATCACGCTGATGTCGACGTTGCGCTCCAAGGTGCATTCCATCATCCATCTTCTGAGAGACACAAGCCGGCCCTCTCCATCCACAGTCTCCCCACCCAGCGAGGACGTCTCCCTTATGTAGGCCACAGACGGGTCGAAAACCGGACGTTTTTTTTTTTTTAAAGTTGAAAAATCGGTCGTTCAATAGGCTGACGTTACCACCAACGGTAAAAAAATCTGCCTATTTTCGTCCCGTCTACGGCCGGCATTTTTACTTCTGTCCCTTGCAGAGAGCTCCGCTATTATATTTTACATGAAAAGTCTTGCGGTTGCAACAATGTATCCATTTGTATCCATTTTGGATACAGATGGTTTTATTCGGATACAAATAGATACATTGTTGCAACCGCAAGACTTTTCATGTAAAGTATAATAGCGGACTGGAATTCTGCTTCTTTTTCTTCTTCTTTTTCTTCTTCTTCTTTATTTTCTTCTTCTTCTTCTTATTTTCTTCTTTTTCTTCTGCTTCTTCTTTTCTTCTTTTCTTCTTCTTCTTATTTTCTTCTTTTTTTCTTCTTCTTCTTCTTTTTCTTCTTTTTCTTCTTCTTTTTCCTCTTCTTGCAGGTCACAGCTCATTTGCAGATTTTTTATCGGTAAAACTATCGGCCAATTTGCCCATCATTGCCGTGAAAATCGTCAGATTGTCAAAATTGGCTGCAAATTTTCCAACTTTACCGAAAAAAAATGTGCCAAAACCCCCGAAAAATGGCCGACCAATCAACCCACTAACGGTGCAAAAATTGGCCGATTTTTTTTTCGGCTGATTTTCGACCCGTCTATGGCCTGCATTACACTCCTTTATGGATGAGCTTTTTTAAACTTTCACCATGTGAGTGATTTTCTATTGTTTCTGGAATAAATGTCTTTATACCGCACTTAGAGGTGTTTTTTTCTTTTTCATTGTGTCTTACCCAGAGCCTGCTACAGCTGCAAGAGCATGCCCTAATGTTATGCGGAATTTCATACATCGAGCTTTAATATGAACTTTATATATATATATGAATACCTTTGTTCTCTGGCACCTTGATTTGGGGAATTTATTTTGCGCTGATTTTTCTGTTCTTTGTTTTTAGAGAGAATGAGACTCTATCAGAGCCGAATACCCATGTGAGAAGTGGCAGACAGAAGCTGTTCCTTTGTACACATCCTTGATGCATCTGTGGATGAGCTTCAGAACGAATCGCTGCCCCCCCCCCCCTCGAGCTAGCATGCACTTTCCATCTGAGGCCTTTCATAAAGGTATTTAACGTCTCTCCTTATTCCTGTTAATGAATATTTGTTATGATTTCCTACCTATGAAGTCGTTGGATTTTCCCAAGTCATAATCCCACACCGTCACTTCCAGGCTTCTCTTCTGGAGCTCCAGCAGGCCGATTTTATAGAAGAATTCCTGGCCAATAAGAAAGGAGACTATGTGATTCGGACCAGTTAGATAGCAAGGACAAGTTTAAACCCCACCCATGAGGAGCCTCGTACTTCTCCCTGATGTCCCTTCTGATTCCTACAAACATGAAATTCTGTAAGCTTAGAAATGTGATCAGCTCTGTACGATTTCTATAAAAATTTCTGTAGAAAGAATGATATTTTTTGTGACTGAAGCAAATGAAACTTAAGTTTTTAGAAGGGTATAAGCTGTGATAGAAATAGTTCTAGGAGGATTAGCTGTCTTCACAAATGTCACAGTCACCATTCCTGGGATCCAGCGCTGGGTCTCACTTGTTGGTCATCGCTTGGGGTGCAGAGGCCACGACTAATCAGGAGACACTTCTCCTGATTGGTTCATGCTTTAAGGGCCAGGCGACACATTGCTATGCCTGAGCTGAGTCCTCTGTGTCTCCAGCATTTGTCTGTGCCACCTGTGTTCCCTGTGTCTCCAGCATCTGACTGTGCCATCTGTGTTCCCAGTGTCTCCAGCATCTGCCTGTGCCACCTGTGTTCCCTGTGTCTCCAGCATCTGCCTGTGCCATCTGTGTTCCCAGTGTCTCCAGCATCTGCCTGTGCCATCTGTGTTCCCAGTGTCTCCAGCATCTGCCTGTGCCTTCTATGTTCCCAGTGTCTCCAGCATCTGCCTGTGCCATCTGTGTTCCCAGTGTCTCCAGCATCTGCCTGTGCCATCTGTGTTCCCAGTGTCTCCAGCATCTGTCTGTGCCATCTGTGTTCCCAGTGTCTCCAGCATCTGCCTGTGCCATCTGTGTTCCCAGTGTCTCCAGCATCTGACTGTGCCATCTGTGTTCCCAGTGTCTCCAGCATCTGCCTGTGCCATCTGTGTTCCCTGTGTCTCCAGCATCTGCCTGTGCCATCTCTGTTCCCTGTGTCTCCAGCATCTGCCTGTGCCATCTGTGTTCCCAGTGTCTCCAGCATCTGCCTGTGCCATCTGTGTTCCCAGTGTCTCCAGCATCTGCCTGCGCCATCTCTGTTCCCTGTGTCTCCAGCATCTGCCTGTGCCATCTGTGTTCCCAGTGTCTCCAGCATCTGCCTGTGCCATCTCTGTTCCCAGTGTCTCCAGCATCTGACTGTGCCATCTGTGTTCCCAGTGTCTCCAGCATCTGCCTGTGCCATCTGTGTTCCCAGTGTCTCCAGCATCTGCCTGTGCCATCTGTGTTCCCAGTGTCTCCAGCATCTGCCTGTGCCATCTCTGTTCCCAGTGTCTCCAGCATCTGCCTGTGCCATCTGTGTTCCCAGTGTCTCCAGCATCTGACTGTGCCATCTGTGTTCCCAGTGGCTGCCTGTGCCCTCCTGGATGTAGAGCTTTGCACTCTGGTGACTTCACTGCTTACAGTGACCCCTGTGCATTCCAGACATCCTTGTGTCTCCAGAAATCACTGTGACTTCTGCGACCTTTGTGTTTTCAGTGCCCCTTGTGACACCGGAGCATTCTGTGTCACCTTGTGACCCTTGTGGCTCCACAGCATCCCGTGTTACTTCGTGACCCATACGTCCTGAACATCCTGTGTCATCCTGTGATCTCTCTTACTCTTAAGCATCGTATGTCATCCTGTGAATCCTGTGATTTCAGAGTATCCGGTGTCAACCCATGACCCCTGTGACTGCAGAGCATCTGGTGTCAACCCATGACCCCTGTGACTCTAGAGCATCCTGTGTCACCCCATGACCCCTGTGACTCCAGAGCATCCCGTGTCTTCTCATGAGTCCTATAACTCCAGAGCATCCTGTGTCACCCCATGACCCATGTGACTCCAGAGCATCCTGTGTCACCTTATGACCCATGTGACTCCAGAGCATCCTGTGTCACCCCATGACCCATGTGACTCCAGAGCATCCTGTGTCACCCCATGACCCCTGTGAGTCAAGAGCATCCCGTGTCACCCCATGACTCCTGTGACTCCAGAGCATCTCGTGTCTTCTCATCAGCCCAGTGACTCCAGAGCATCCCGTGTCACCCCATGACCCCTATGACTGTAGAGCATCCTGTGTCACCCCATGACCCCTGTGACTCCAGAACATCCCGTGTCACCCCATGACCCCTATGACTGTAGAGCATCCCGTGTCACCCCATGACCCCTGTGACTCCAGAACATCCCATGTCACCCCATGACCCCAGTGCTCCCTGAGCACCTCTGTGACACCTGTACCTGCTCACCTCTTCAGGTATGCTTGTATCTCCCTCTCCTTGTGAATGAAGCCCCCTGTCTGTGACACTAAATGAACACATTATAAAGAGCTACTAATATTTGTAAGAAATAACACTGCAGTATGCTGATTCCATGGGTGCCTGATCACTTTGGAGAACAAGAAGGAATATTGTGGGAATGCATTGTAAGGGTTTTTCGCCTAAATTAAATAAAGTCCTGCTTTAAGCTGCAATAATCACGTTGGATGGACCCCCCCCCCCCCCCTTCTCTTTTTACCTCATTAAATTCTGGGTTCAGAGTTTTCTTCTTCACGGCAGTTTTGTGCTTGGACTTCTTTTCCACGTCCGGCTTCAAGTATCTGCAGAAGGAAAACAGGACTGGTAAGATCTGGGATTGAGTGGTATTGGAGTAATGGAGCAACCAATATTGAAATGTACAATGCAGGACCAGCGGCGGTCCCCACTCATCGATTCCTAGAAGTACAAAGTAGGAATTATTCCTAGAGCTAAGTACATTGTATATACCGTATACCCTCGTATACCTCCCTCTAACCATCCACTGCTCAGCAGTACACTGTATATACCGTATACCCTCGTATAACTCCCTCTAACCATCCACTGCTCAGCAGTACATTGTATATACCGTATACCCTTGTACAGTTGCAAGAAAAAGTATGTGAACCCCTTGGGATTACGTGGAATTTTGCATGAATTGGGCCATTGGAAAAAAGACGTGCTGAAGAGGTTACAATCTGCCAAAGAGCACATTGACCGGCCTAAAGAGAAATGGCGCAACATTTTGTGGACTGATGGAAGTAAGATTGTTCTTTTTGGGTCTAGTGGGCGGAGACAGTTTGTCAGACGACCCCCAAACACTGAATTCAAGCCACAGTACACTGTGAAGACCGTGAAGCATGGTGGTGCAAGCATCATGATATGGGGATGTTTCTCATACTACGGTGTTGGGCCTATTTATCACATACCAGGGATCATGGATCAGTTTGAATACATCAGAATACTTGAAGAGGTCATGCTGCCTTATGCTGAAGAGGAAATGCCCTTGAAATGGGTGTTCCAACAAGACAACGACCCCAAACACACCAGTAAACGTGCAACATCTTGGTTCCAGACCAACAAGATGGAGTTATGGAGTGGCCAGCCCAATCCCCGGATCTTCATCCAATAGAAAACTTGTGGGGTGACATCAAAAATGCCGTTTCTGAGGCAAAACCAAGAAATCGAGAAGAACTGTGGAATGTGGTCCAATCATCCTGGGCTGGAATACCTGATCACAGGGGCCAGAAGTTGGGGGACTCCATGCAACACAGATGTACAGCAGTTCTCAGAAACAGTGCGACTACAACCAAATATTCATGAAGTCATTCAAAGGAAAGCAAAATCTTCAAACATTTCTCAGGTTATATAGTGAATGTTTGAGTTTGTAAAGAAGAATACAAACACTGCCATTTTTTTGAACCGTCTAATATTCACTTTTCTTCAATTGTTTTAGAGGAACAACACAAATTTGATGTATTTTTCTTCATGTTGTGATTTGGAATAGAATGTGTCGTGTTCCCAATGCATTTGTGTGGATGGAAATAAAAGCTATTAGAAGGATTTTCAGCTTTAGTCACTTTTTTCAGCACAACACACTGCTATTATTTTGAACACAACTGTACATCTGGGTGCTTCCTTAGATTAGGGCCTTCATTAGAGACCCCTTACAGCAGAGTTCCATCTTACATCAGGGTTCCCCATCAGAGCCTCCACCTTAAATCAGGGTCCTCCTTTTGTTTGATTCCTGCTTATATTAGGATCCCTATCTGAGTCCCCCTTACTTTAGAATCCCCATCAAGGTCTCCCCTTACGTCAGGTGCTTCCTTAGATTAGGGTCCCCATCAGAGACCCCCTTACATCAGAGTTCCACCTTACATCAGGGTTCCCCATCAGAGACCCCTTACATCAGGGTCCCCATCAAAGTCCCCCCTTACACGAGATGTCCCTCTTACATCAAAGTTTCCCTAACGTCAGAGTCCCCATCAAAGTGCCCCTTAGATCATGGTTCTCTCTTAAATCAGGGTCGCCATCAGAGTCCCCCTTACATCAGGGTCCATATCAGAGTCCCCCTTACATCAGGGTCCATATCAGAGTCCCCCTTACATCAGGGTCCATATCAGAGTCCCCCTTACATCAGGGTCCATATCAGAGTCCCCCTTACATCAGGGTCCATATCAGAGTCCCCCTTGAATCCTCAATCTGTGCGCTGAGCCACCGAATGGACAACCGTGACTGATGCAGCACTTTGTAGCACATTCCATGCTGTGCACACTGCTCCCCTCTCCCCCGTCTCCTGCACATCTGTCTCCTCTGCGCCCCTTGGGGGGAGGCGATCTACAGCTAAAAATACATCACCTTCCTCCCCAGGGGGGATGCAGATGACACCTGCGCACCGAGTGCTCATAGAAAGATCCGCCAGATCGAGCGTAAAAACAACTTTGGGACGCACTCCTGGTTATGGGGACCACAAATGACAATTTATAGCTGCCAGAGAAAAAAAAGTCCCACGGCAGTGGTCGATGTAGACCCTTCATACACACCTTTGCATGTTTACTTAAAAATGAATGGCGCAACCGATGCGGGTGCGTTTCTGCACATTTTCTGCACGTGCCGTGTCTTCATTTCAATAGGTTGCCCTACGCACAAGAAACATGGAAAAGAAGTCCCTAACTCTTTTTTTCTTTGTTTTGCGCATTACTTTCACCCCCGGTTCACACCTATGCGGCCGTGCGGGCCGCGTTTTGCTCGGGCATGAGAGCCCATTCATTTGAATGGACTCCCGTGCCCCGTGACACGCAGGGGAAGAAGTCCCTGCACTACTTTGTAAAACGCAGCCGAGGTTCCCAGTACGGTTTATATATAAACTGATGGAAAAAAAAGGATGATGTAAACTGATGAAAAAAAACGGATGTAAACTGATGGAAAATGGATGTAAACTGATGAAAAACGTATATATAAACTGATGGAAAAAAGGATGTAAACTGATGGAAAAAAAAAAACGGATGTAAACTGATGAAAAACGGATGTAAACTGATGAAAAATGTATATATAAACTGATGGAAAAAAAAAGGGAGGTAAACTGATGATAAAAAACTGGATGTAAAGTGATGAAAAAAAAAAGATTTAAACTGATGAAAAACGGATGTAAACTGATGAAAAAAAAAAAAAAAACTGCTGTAAACTGATGAAAAAAAGATGGATGTAAACTGATGAAAAACATATATATAAACTGATGGAAAAAAAAATGGATGTAAACTGATGAAAAAAAAACAGATGTAAACTGATGAAAAAAAAAAACTGCTGTAAACTGATGGAAAAAAAAGGATGTAAACTGATGAAAAAAAAAAGGATGTAAACTGATGAAAAACGTATATATAAACTGATGGGAAAAAACGGCTGTAAACTGATGAAAAACGTATATATAAACTGATGGAAAAAAAGGGAGGTAAACTGGTGATAAAAAACTGGATGTAAAGTGATGAAAAAAAAAAGATTTAAACTGATGAAAAACAGATGTAAACTGATGAAAAAAAAAACTGCTGTAAACTGATGGAAAAAAAGACGGATGTAAACTGATGAAAAACATATATATAAACTGATGGAAAATAAAATGGATGTAAACTGATGAAAAAAAAAAATGCTGTAAACTGATGAAAAAAAAAACTGCTGTAAACTGATGGAAAAAAAAATGATGTAAACTGATGAAAAAAAAGGATGTAAACTGATGAAAAACATATATATAAACTGATGGGAAATAAAAAGGATGTAAACTGATAAAAAATTAACGGATGTAAACTGATGAAAAAAAAAACCAGCTGTAAACTGATGAAAAACGTATATATATAACCTGATGTGGAAAAAAAGGATGTAAACTGATGAAAACTGGATGTAAACGAATGAAAAACGGATATAAACTGATCTGTTTTTGCTTGAAAAAAAACATGACAACTGATAAAAAAACGGAACGTCCGTATGAATGGGGCCTTAGGGTGTGCTGATAGTCAAATCAGGATGAGTATGCTGCCTTAACCCCTCTGTCTACCAAGGTACGTTTATAAACGGCTCAGTATCAAGCTGCTGCAGCCATAAGCTTGGTGTGGGATTTTCCGGTGAAAGGCGTTCAGATAAAAGCGATCCCAATGGCCATAGCAATGGGCAAACTACGGCCCGCGGGCCGTAACGGCCCGGCACCTTTTAATCCGGCCCGCGGAGCTAGGCTCCCGCAAGGCCAGTGGTCGGCAAGCCGCGGCTCTTTACAATAGATGCGGCTCTCCTGTGTGCCGGGCGCCCGCTCCCCTCCCTCCTCTCGGGCGGGCGGGCGACCTCCTGTCCTCCCTCCCCTCCCCTCCTCTCGGATGGCCGCCCCCCCTCTAGGATGGCCGCCCCCTTCCTCTCGGGCTCAGGACCTGCAGCTGTCAGGATGTAGGCGGGGCAGCCAGGATGTAGGCGGGGCAGCGTGACGAACTCTTCTCTCACAGTCCTCCCTGAAGACCAGAACGGCGCGGGAATACGAGAGGAACGCGCGGAGGAGCAAAGGTAAGTGAATTGACACAGGGGGGGCTTACTATATGGGGAATGAATTACTATATGGAGGACTTACTATATGGGCATGAATTACTATATGGGGGACTTACTATATGGGGGATGAATTACTATATGGGGGACTTACTATATGGGGAATGAATTACTATATGGGGGACTTACTATATGGGGGATGAATTACTATATGGGGGACTTACTATATGGGGAATGAATTACTATATGGGGGATGAATTACTATATGGGGGACTTACTATATGGGGGATGAATTACTATATGGGGGACTTACTATATGGGGAATGAATTACTATATGGGGAATGAATTACTATATGGGGGACTTACTATATGGGGGACTTACTATATGGGGGATGAATTACTATATGGGGGATGAATTAATATGGGGGATGATGGGGGATGAATTACTATGTGGGGGATGAATTACTATGTGGGGGATGAATTACTATGGGGGATGAATTACTATGTGGGGGATGAATTACTATGGGGGATGAATTACTATGGGGGATGAATTATATATGGGGGATGAATTACTATATGGGGGATGAATTACTATATGGGGGATGAATTGCTATATGGGGGATGAATTACTATATGGGGGATGAATTGCTATATGGGGGACGAATTACTATATGGGGGACGAATTACTATATGGGGGATGAATTACTATGGGAGATGAATTACTATATGGGGGATTAATTACTATGCTTACTATGGGGGAATATTACTATACTTACTATGGATGAC